GAGACTATTGGGGAAAGCTGGGAGATATCTTTAAAGCTAGTTAGCAGAGAACATTGGGGCAAGCTAGCAGAGATCATTGGGGAAAGCGCAAATCATCAGATAGTGAGAGGACAAGAGATCAGTTCTAAGATCCGGGCACCACGTAGTTTCTGCTTTTTACATTTCCAAGAAAATGGTTAGCTACTTTCCCAAAAGTGTACGAAAGAGTACTAAATCCGAGTAATCCCTGAAAAGATCGGAATTTCATAATAAAGCGGATTCTTGGAATAACCTTGAGAGCTACAGTACCCCCAGACGACCAAAAGTTCCCAGAATCAGCCCAACAGACGGAAGATCGGACGCCGGAAAATCTCCGGAAAGCCCCAGAAAGCTTCGAAACGCGGCCCGAAAAGGGCAGCTGTGTATTTTTGGATTTTTGTTGTTGCGCGGGGTGCCCGGGGGCGTCTGGGAATTTTCATACTCGAGGTGGGGGTATATTTAGGGCCCAGGCGGAACCGAGGGTTTGTCGAAGTCACCCGGAATTATTTTTTCCGGAGACCATAGGAGCTCAACGGGAGTGCCTGGACTCTGTCCCTTTCCTTTTTCATTCATCATTTTCTGCTTCAATTTTAGGTTTTGTTATAGCGCTAATTTTCTGAGAATCTTCTGAGCCTTAAAAGCCGTTTCCGGCACCCTACCGTATTTTTACCATACCGTAGTACTTAAAGGGACTGGTAACCCAAGAATGACTAGACTGATAAGTCCTATGATTGTCCTCTTTAGCTTACTGTAACCAGCCAATTTTAAAGGGATCAACAAGTCACTAATTTGGAATTGTTACCAAAAACCGCCGTATCTATAGCCCTAAAAATGGACTCGGAAGTCCGAAATCAGGGTCTGCAGGTGCTTACGCCTGGGCTCAGGATAGGCTTAGGCTTCGCTTATGCTTAGGCTTAGGCTTAGACTTATGATAGATACATACACCACCCAAAAGCTAAATTTTAGTTTTTTTTTGGGTTTTCGTGATTATCCTGATTTCCACCCAGAACTCAGCGTTCCGGTAGTAAACAACCCGGCGCGGTCAGCCCGGCCAGACGGACGATACGCAACAAAATGGAAGAGGAATAGAGAGCGAGAGAGAGAGAGCGAGAGCGAGACAGAGAAAGAGCGAGAGAGACAGAGAGACTGTGAGAAATCACGGAAAGTCTGCTGTGATGTGCTGATTCAGCGGTCCGTTGACAGATCGGTGTCTACCATCCTAATCACCCCCCGCGTGTTCTACCCCCTTTTTCATCCCCTCTGCAAGTTTTTCCGGGGCGTGTTTTGGTAGGGTGCAGCCGGATGGAGCCGCAGGAGCCGAATCGGGGTGTTCCGCGGGTTTTTGGCGACTGTCAGCTGACCGCGCCCTTTAGCGAATCGGATGCCCTTCGGATACGGGAGGAGGAGCGGAGAGGAAAAGCTACGGTGCGGAAATTTACTGGTTTTGGGTGGAATTAGGTCAATTGTGGAAAAACGAAGTCAAAAGTGTGCTTGTGCAGTAATCTCTATAGCTCTCTCTCATTCACTCTCTTGTCTCCGCCCGCTCTTTCGCATTATCTCTCTTGCTCTCTTGCTCTCGCGCGCTCTCTCTCTCTCTCTCTCGCGCGCTATTTCTCGCTCGCTCTCCCCCTCTCTCTAGGTGCCGCTCTCTCGCTTTCCCTTGGCCGACTTCACCGTCCCTTTAAGTTTTCGGCCCTTAAAAAGGTAAAAATATGACATAAAATATGACATTACCAAAAAAAATACCGGATTCGGTGCCCACTACTGTAGCCCACTACCAAATAACTGAACAATTTCCAGCTAAAAACGCGCATTTTTTCCGCCTACCATACCCCCTACCGTACACCAGGGGTCAAAATGCTGCCCACCTTTCACTTTTTTTGTTGGCTGACCCCCTGCAAGTACCATATTTCAGCCGCCGCCGGGCGAAATTGGGGATACGGCCATCAGCCGGCCGCCAATCAGTCAATCTTCAGACGGAAATGTTGCGATCTAGCCAGAACTCTAGGTCTCTCTCTCTCTCACTTGTTCCCTCGCTCTCTAAAATAGCTTACTCTCTCTATAGCTCGCTCCCTTTCTCTCCTCTCTCTCTCTCTCTCTCTCTCTCTCTCTCTCTCTCTCTCTGCCTCTCTCTAGCTCTTCATATCCATCGCCTGACGGTGATTTCTGTTGCCGTGGATCAGACCACAACAATCGCCATTAGGGAGAGAAAGAGAGCACACGAGAGACAGAGAGAGAGACAGAGAGAGAGAGAGAGAGAGAGAGAGAGAGAGAGAGAGCAAACTAGCAGAGTTGATTGAAGCCAGCTCTGTGACATGCTAGCAACGGTTTTTTAGGGTCTAGCCAGCAAAGGGTATTGAGGAGATCAAGGCAGACTAGCAGTGTTTCCTTAGGGAATTTCGTACAAGCATCGGTAGCTAGCAAAGATTCTTTCGAAAACTGAGGGCCCCAGTGCGATTTAGTAGTGTTTCAGATCCAGTTGGGTTTCTTTAAGAAAATCCACATGGCAAGGTAGCAGCGAACTTTTAGCAGAAACGTAACCTAGCAGCAATTCCTTCGGAAAATGCCGGCTAGCAGATAATCATTGCGAAAATTGCGCAGATATCTAAGGAAATTCAGGCAGCTTTGCTAGCTACGTAGCTAGCAAAGATTACTTAGGAAAACTCACGTTCGAGAGCAAGCTAGCCGCGATTACTTGGAAAATCTCATCAATGTGTTTCGTAAAGCAATTGGCAATCCCAAAGCAATTCCTTAGCCATTTCCAAGCCAGCTAGCAGCGATTATTTGGAAATACAGACGGTAAGGGCAGGCTAGCAGAGAATCTTTAGGAAATCCAGAACCTTTAATGTTCGTGCAAATCCCAAGGCTCTTCCTCTCCGTCCACCTTTTAGGCATCAGACAAGGGCGAACCGTCTAGACGCTGGGCTATGCGAGGGCGGAGACTTTCGAGTGGGCTCTGCGGCTTTTCGTCTCGCACTTCTAGCCCAAATCCCCCTATATCTATGCCCTTAGACTACGCTACGCTCCGCCCCCCACCCCCTAGTTACGTGTGGGGGAGTATCGCGGAACACAGGGCTCCCCTGTCTCTGCACTTGTTGCACTGACCCTGAGGGCATAATTTAGGGTTGTATATAAGGACCGGACGCGCTTCTGATAATATGATATTATTTCGTTTTTCGCTTAGGCTTGGCTTAGGCTGGGCTTTGGCTTAGGCTTAGGAATAGGCTTAGGCTTAAGCTTAAGCTTAGACTTGGGCTTAGGCTTGGCTTAGGCGTAGGCTTGGCGTAGGCTTAGGCTTAGGTTTAGACTTCGGCCTGGGCTTATACTTAGGCTTAGGATTGGGCTTAGGCTTAGACTTGGGTTTGGGCTTAATTTATGCTTACCATTGCGTTAACTTGTGTGTTTCTACATACAGTTTTCGAAAATTTTATTTTCCCGCCAGCGTACCTTTTAAATCGAATTTATACAAATTACGCATAATAAACTTAATGTAATTGTAGTTATATCACTAAATATTCATTATCGATCATTTATCATTTTATCGAGTCATTTCCCCGGCTACCGTACCCCAACCCCTACCGAATGGCCGGCTCTCGAGAACGGGGGTGGGGAAGGGGCGTTCCCCCTCCCGCGTCTCGTCCAATTTTCCGGAACTCCTAAAAAAGTCGCTGCCGCTCACACATCATTGAAAATATGTTGTTTTTGATTTTAATCGGCTTCTTCTATGTAGGTTCTGAAGCGTACAGGTCAAGAAGCTCAATTTTCTGCTCAAATCTTTTCGAAAATTCCCCAACCGGCTTTCCTGGAACTTGAAAACCATCTGACTGCTTTTCGTGACGTGGAAATTTTCCAACAACGTGAATATTGACTTCCCGGCCCCTTTATTCGATTTTTTTCTGATTTTTTTTTTGGTCTTGCCACGTCGCCAACGCACCACCATAAACTACGGTATAAAACGCACAACACGATAAACGTTCGCTTCACGGCCCCTTTAAGCAGCTCTTCCTCACTTTCAAAGCCTTGCAAAATTGGGAAAAGCTCTTCACGAATGTGGGATGCTAAAAATTTTCTCAAAAATGAGTGGTAAGAGCCGACACGCGTGCCCTTAGGCCGGTTTTCGAAATTTCCCATACCTTTAAAGTTGCCCTTCTACCTACAAAAACTTGGAAACTTGCCAAAAAGCCTGGCCTGGCCGGCGCATAGCTCTAATCAAATTTTCCTAGTGTTAGTTTATTTTTAATGACAGTTTTCCTGGGCGTCAGCCTAAGACTAAGCCTAAGCCCAAGCCTAAGCCTAAGCTCAAGCTTAAGCCTGAGCCTAGGCCCAAAGCTAACCCTAAGCCCAAACCTAAGCACAAGCAGAACCTAAGGCTAAGCCTGGCAGCTTGCCAAAGCCCCTGTTTTCGCACCCTAAATCCGCAGAAATGACGCGAATTTTGCTGGCGCGCGTTTTGGGGTTGGCCGGTTGAGAGATCGTTTCTCTCCTCGCCTGCTAGACGTTGTTGTTTTTGAAAATGGGGGGGACAGCCAAGAAAGAGGAGGCGGAGCCGATCACCTATTAATAAGTGATGGTCGGGCCACCGAGTTCGCGCAAATCTGCCCACGTTTTAGGAGAGTAGACGGGCCAGACTGTGTTTATTTTATAAAATTTTATAAGTTATCTGAGCCGATTTTCTGGGCTTATGAAACTTTAATGCTTGGTTTTGGACTTAGGAAGCTTGTCTCTTTATTTTCTAAGCGTTCTAAGCCGATTTTGGGCTTCGGAAACTTCGAAAGATTTGTTTTTTTTTGTATTTTCATAAGGTTCCTAAGCCGGTTTTTATAAGCTTTTTAGGTCAATTTTTGAAAGCTTCGTTTTTGAGCTTGTGCAGCTTCCAAAACCCTCATTTTCACGTTTTTTTCTCCGGTTTTTCTTCGTTTTCCTGGTTTTATTTGCTCGAAAATTCGTTTTAACGTCCATTCCGTTACGCCACTATTTTCAGAATGCTCGCAGTGACGCTAGGCTTGGCCGGCCTCGTCTACTGGCTCTACTACCAGCTCGTCCACAGGCTCAAGGCGTACCCGCCCGGCCCACGGCCACTACCATTTATTGGAAATGTTCATCAGGTTGGTCTCTCTCTCTCTCTCTCTCTCTCTCTCTCTCTCTCAATTACCTCTCTTTCTCTACCCTCCCCACAAACCACATGCTCCCTCTCCCGCACCTACCCATGCCCTTTGCCCATACCAGACAGTTCAGGCTTGTCCTCCCCCACTCCTCGTGGGTTCCGTTCCGCTCCAGCCAACAGCATCGGATCGGAAATTCCGAGCGACTGCTCTGTCGCCCGGTTCAACGCCTAGCAAGACACACGCAACCATGCCCTTTCCCAAAACATAAGCACTTTTTTTGGGGTGACGGGGCGAGGAAAAGCTGAAAAAAGGATTAGGATTAGGCTTGGGCTTAGGCTTAGGCTTAGGACTAGGGCAGGTCTGCAGGTCTGGGAAACTAAGTACAGTACTACTTTATAATCGGTACTGCCGATCTTTCTCTCTCTCTCTCTCTCTCTCTCTCTCTGTCTCTCTCTCTCTCTCTCTCTCGTTCTCCCGCTCACTCTCTGTCTGTCTGTCTGTCTGTCTCTCTCTCTGTCTCTCTCTCTCACTCTCCGAGTCTTTGCATCCCTTTCCGGACCGCTTATCTACCACGATCGCCTGAAAGAACTGCCGAAATCGATTTTCTAAAATTGCCCTTAAATTTTAATATTAAAAATTTAATTTTTATATAGTTGTAAGATGAATTTTATACCTACTCTGCCGGCATGACACATAGGTGACACCACTCGGAACAACAGTTGTGGCACCTATAGATTATTGAACTGTGCCGCAGCTGTGCTACAGCTGTGTATCCCCCACAGCTGTGCCACCGTTGTGCCCCCGCGCCGCTTATTGTTTTGGAGGCGTTCCTGGAGGTGAAATGGTTTATTCTAGGGCTTTATGATGCTAAATAGTAGCTCTGGTCCAAAAAGCAAAAAATAAAATCCTGCGCCGATCCGAACCTTCGTTACTTTGCCCCACGCTTCGCCTAACTCCTTATCCACTAGACCACGATGACACATCGGTCGGGGAGCGAGGAAGCCTATGAAGGTATAGCGAAAATTTCAAAGGCTTATAAATTGGTCATATACACTCCATGCAAATAAAAATTAGTTTGCCGGGTTCAGTTCTTCAAGCTCTATAAGTGTGCCAATCTCAAATCGCAGTTTTATGTCCGGTTGGGACCGTCTCCTTGTCGGCCAAAATTAGTGTTAAATCAAAAAACCGAAGTAAATGGAGTCGAAAGCAGTCACGAGAAAACTTCCGACATATAAAACATATATTTTACGAAAATTTTATTTTTTCTGACCGGAAAAAATGACTAAGTCCCGGGACACAGCTGTGATTCCGCTCCGGGATGCCCGACACAGCTGTGATTCCACTCCGGGATTCTCGACACAGCTGTGACACCGCACTGGGGCAGCGGTAACGGGGACACAGCTGTGAGTGAACGCCGGCTGTGACACCGCTAAATTTTCCTAGCTACACAGCTGTGCCACCGCTAAACGGCCACTCACAGCTGTGTTTCCGCTATTAGCGGTGTCTCCTATGTGTCATGCCGGCAGAGTAATCACTGGAAATAATTGTCAAGCCTAATTTTAAACCCTACAATTTTTTCAATAATTTTAATTTTTCCACTATTTTTGGCCGGCTTTTTGGGTGTGACTCACTGTCTAGACAGCTCGTGCTCGAGAAGTTGCGAACCGCCGCCCGCTGCCCCCCAAATTGAGCGATAGCTGGCCGGAGAAGCTCCGATCCAAGGCTGGCTCGGCCCCAAGATCCACAAATCGGACACTATGTCTCGCTCGCTCTCTTTCTCTCGCTCTTGCTCCCCCAAAAATGAGCAAAACAACCGGCGCGCGTCTCAGCTGACCGGCTGATTCTTGGGAAATTTCTTTTGCAGGGATTTTTGGGGATTTCCGGGTTGAGGAGGTTGAAATGGGGAGCTTGAGTCCAAGCTTCAACTCGAGCCTAAGCCTAAGCCCAAGCTCATGCTCAAAATTACCCTCCTGTTGCAGATCAACCTCGCCAACCCGGCCGAGTCGATGCTCGCGTGGCGGGCCAAGTACGGCCCGGTGTTCACCATCTGGATGCCGAAGCCGATCGTCGTGTTGGCCTCGCACAAGACGCTTCAAGAGGCCCTCGTCAAGCAAGGTAAGCCGCAGCCTAAGCTAAACCTAAGTCGATCCAAATTCCACCCAAACCCCACGTAAAATTGGCACAATAACATACAAAAAGCGCAGCGCGGGTGCCGCGCTTCCGCGCGCTCATCCGTCATCTCCGGCCAGCCATAGTCGTGTTTGTTGTTGTTCAGAAACGGCTGGTCGGTCGGCCGCGCCGACCTTGGCTAGACGTTTTTTGCGTGTATTTCTCGGGCGTGCACGGAGTATCGTCGCGGAAAGTTGAGTGAAGGAGGGTGGTCTTTGACCAGATCACTTTTAAGGAGAAATTCGTGCAAAATTAGATGCAAATTAGGGGAAGAAAAAACGGGATTTTTGCGGGTTTAAAGGCACTGGCAAGTCAAGCCGGTTTTGAGGTTCAAAATATGGTAAAAAATTACGCTAAATGGGATTTTTGCTCAGAAACTTTAGCTGTCACGCTCCCTTTAAAAATCGGCTACAAAAATTGCAAATACAAACTTTAAAACCTTAAACTGCCGAAATTTCCAAACCGCCGCCAACCGGTTCCCTTGGCATCTTGTTTACGCCCGCGAAAAATCTCTGGATGGCCGCAAACAAAAAACGGCGTATTTTTAGGCTGTTTACTGGCATGGAAAAACCGTGAAAACGCCTTAAAAACGCGTAAAATTGTCATAAAAATCATGAAATTAATTAAAAAGTTAACATCCAAATTTTCCAGGCGACGCTTTTGCCGGCCGGCCTACTAGCTTCTTGTGGAGTCTCTTCACCAGGGGAAGGAAAGATGGCGATGGGATCATTTTGTGCCAAAAGGTAAGTAATTTAAGCATAAGCCTAAGCCAAGCCAAGCCTGTCTAAGCCTAATCCTAAGCCAAGCCTAGGCCAAGCCTAAGTCTAAGCCCAAGCCTAGAGGAATATAACTTTTACCTTAATTTTCCAGGAACGCTGGCAACAAAACCGAATGTTCGCCCTGCGGACATTCTCGGAATTCGGCATGGGAGGCGACATGATGGCCCAAAAGGTCATGCTCCAGGCCGAAACCCTCGTCGACCACATCCGCGAGCGAATGGACGGCGCCAAGTCGATGGTGTTCGACCCGCACTATCCTCTTGCCAACTGCGTCGGCAACATCATCCACGATCTCATCATCGGCAAGACGTTCGCCTATGGGGACGCCGAGTTCGACAGGTTCAAGAACTTGATCGACAGCACGCTCAAGGATGTGGGTTTTCTTGTCAGAGTCCCTTTAAAAGTCTATGCACTGTTTTAAAAAGCTAAAACATTGATTTTCTAAATTTTTCAGCTGTCACTGCCCCTTTAAATCGAACTCCTTCAGGTCGCCTCCTGGCAAATGATGATGTGCGACACCTACCCGTTCTTGGCCCGCTTCTTCCCATCCTTCTACCGCTACAAGAAGAACGGCTTCGCCCTCCAGCAGTGGTTCCTCGACGAGATCGAGCGGTACGTTTTGCTCGCTCTCTCTCGCTCTCTCTCTCTCACTCTATCGCTCCAAATATCTATCTCCCCTTTTCAGACACGAGGAAAACCTGAGCTGCGACGGCGATCCGCGCGACTTCATGGAGGCGTACCTGCGCGAAATGAAGTATAGGCCGAATAATGAGAATTTTAAGTGAGTTTTCGACGATTTAAATTAATTTAAAAGACGAAAAGTTTGTCGAAATAGTTTTTACCACTACCGAAAATTTTAAAAATAGCTTAAACGTTATTAAGGCGTTTTTAAACCGACTTTTTAGCAAGCTGACCCTGGCGCTGACGTCGGGCGACTTGTGGACGGGCGGCATGGAGACATCAGGTAAATTAATGGTCTTAGCTAATTGTATGGAAAATTCTATCCCTAAGCCTAAACTGAAGTTTAAGCCTAAACCTAAGCCTAAGCCTAAGCCTAAACAACCGCCCCCATTACAGTAACCACCCTCCGCTGGGCCATCATGTTCCTCATGTACTACCCGAATATTCAAGAAAAGCTGCACGAAGAGATTGATACGGTGGGTTTTTAAAAACAAAAAATTGCTGCTAATTTCCTAAAAATTTTCAAATTTTGCCTTCAACAGCCCTTTAAAACCTGTATTTAGATGTTGCAAGGAAATCGCGTCAACTTCCGTGATCGTCACGTGCTACCGTACACCATGGCGACGTTGGCCGAGCTGCAGAGGATTTGCAACGTGTTGCCGTGGCATATTCCGCATCGGTACGCTTTAACGGTCATTTAAACCCTAAAAATACATAGAATTTTGCCTTCACTGGCCCTTTAAAATCCAAAAAAGCCGTTAAATTTTGACTTCACGACCCCTTTAAAAGGATCAAAGTTTATAAATTTTCGCCTTCTACTACTCGGACTACGGTCCTTTAAAAGCTAAAAAAAAACAGAAAACTTCAGTTGTCCTTCAATTGTCCATTAAATTAAATCTGCTCAGACTTAACCGATTACCCCACCATTTCCAGGGTGCTCTCCGACGCGGTCGTCAACGGCGTGCCCCTCCCCGCCGGCACGGACATTATGCCACAATTCGGAGCCGTCCACACCGATCCGGAGGCGTTCCCCGAGCCCGAGGTCTTCAGACCGGAGAGGTACGGTAGAAGGGGCACATCTTAGGGGCTCAAAAGAGGCATATGGTGACCTGCACGAACTTGTCGAGAGCCCTTAGAATAGATCTTTGGCTGTTCTGGCGAACTGCTTGAACTCTTTCTCAGAGTCATCTCTTAACTGGTCATTTCCAGATTCCTCTCCCCGGAGGGCAAATTCGCGAACCGCGACGACGTCAACCCGTTCGGGCTCGGCAAGCGGCAATGCCTGGGCGAGAAGCTGGCCCGGCACGAGCTCTTCCTCCTGTTCGTCACCATCTTGCAGGAGTTCCGCTTCGAGAAGATCGGTGAGTTCAGGGAAGATTTTCGGGACTGGTCTGCTAGCGTGGGGAAGCTAGATACTTTCACCGCGTAATCAGAAACCCCCATCTTTTTCGGCGTGCTCAATCCCAATCTTTGCAGAAGGAGCCCCACTTCCGACCCTGCAGCGCTCGCCGGGCATGACGTCCGTGCCGCAGGCGTTCAACTGCCGTATCTACGCACGGCGCACGCAAAAGCAAGCCCCCGCCGAGAACAACAACCACGAAGGGCTCCCCAACCTCAACCAATAGATTACGACGTGTTAATTGCGATTTAATGGCCCTTTAAGCTACCTTTAAAGGGACTGTGACACGCTGAAATCTGCTTCATTAGTGCGCTTCCATAGCCTACCTGTCCCAGTCCCTTAAAACCCTAGAAATCGTTTGCTCACCAAAGGCTAGTTCTCCAGACTTTTCGTAATTTTTTCCTGTAGCTTAAGCTACGCTACGCTCCTACTTACACCCCAAATCGGTGTGTAACTTCGAGCGTAATGTAGATACGCAAGACTCAGTACAGCTCCTAGGAACCCCGCAAAGGTGTCGCTTGGAGCGTAGTGTAGGTTCCGTACGTACGTAAGCTAAAGTACCCTACAGTACGTAACAGTACACTACAATACCGTACCCCCAGAATCCCTTTAAAATCCCCAATCATTCAATTTCACGATCTCTCGCTCCCCGGGTTACTGTAACGGCTCTTTGTACATTTTTGGAATTTTGGAAATTTGCCAATTTACCGCTATTTTCAAGGGTAAAAAAAATCGATACTTCCCGACAAATTGGCATTTTTCAAAGTAACGTGTTAAAAACGGATTATCCGGTATAATCCGTATGTCCCTCTATTTTGTTGTGTTGTTATTGTGCATCCGAAATACCGTATCCGCGGCCCACCCCTCTGCATCTCATCACCCACAACCAGAAATGATCTCACATCCCCACGTTTACTACTGCAAACTGCGATTTGATGGATGGGAATGTCTATTTGGTTCTCTATCTCTCTCACTCTCTCTCTCTCTCTCTTTCTCGCTCTCTCCATCCCATCCATGATTTCACTACCTCGTTTTGTTGATATTTATATAAAGATAATCCGGTTTTTGGGCGGTGAAATATCACAATACAACTATCAACTCGCACAACAACGTCTGGGGAAAAAGGAGAGAGAGTGTATGTGTGAGAGCGTGAAAGAGAGAGAGAGAGAGAGAGCGAGAGTGAGTGAGAGAGAGAAAGTGAACAAGGGAGAGAGAGATAGATTGAAGCGAGAAAGACAGAGTGAGAGAGCGTGTGAGAGAGTGTAAGAGATAGAGAGAGCGAGAGAGAACGAGAGAGAAAGAGATAAAGAGAGAGAGTGCGAGAGAGAAAGAAAATTTCAAGAAATCAAGATACCCGAATAGGCCAGGCATTACACAAAAGTTACAGCATCCGGAAATACCTAATTTGCATGCTAAAAATTTTCCGAATCTCAAGGACCAAAAAACACAGCATCTTCCTCCGCCCACCAACATGCGCGGCTTCCTCTTCTTCGCCATGCTTTTGGCGGTATCGCTCCATATTCCAAAATTTGCCAATTCGCAGGTGATCTACGCCGACGACGCGAACACGTTCGACTGTATGACGTGCGATCGGCGCGTAAGGCAGGCATGTCTGGATATGGAGCCGGGCAATCGGATGTGCAAGGAGCAGCAGATGCAGGATGGGCACTTTGCGCGTGGGTTTGAGCTCTCATGCTCACTCTCTCACTTGCAGGCTGCGTGGGTGGTCCCCGTTTCGGCGGAAAGCACTGCAACGAGACGACGCAGTGCGGCTGGAAGACTGCCTACGCCGACAAGGATGGAAATTGCATCTGCACTGGGGATGACGCGGACTGCATTCTGCGTTGGTTTTTGGGTTACCGGTCCCTTTAAACTGGGTTGAACGTCCCTCTCACGCTCTCTCTCACTCTCTCACTCTCTCTCGCTCTCTCTCTCTCTCTTTCTGCCTCTACTGTATTTTTCAGGTTGCCCCAAGGGTCTCGGCGGCCCGAAGTGCAACATGAAAGTGCGTTTTTTAGCCGTTTAAGTTCCTTTTTAACCGTGTAAAAACCATGCAATAATGATTTTTCAGTGCGAGGAGAGCGGAAACGACTGCTTGGGATACTGTAGCCTGATGCAGTCGTGGAACGTCTCCGCCGTGCCCAGCATCACCTGCGACCTCGACAAGTTTCCCTGCAAGAACCCTAAGCACGCGTTCTTCTTCTACGACGAGCTGTGCACGAAGCGTTGTCCGGTGAGAGAGAGAGAGAGAGAGAGTGTGAAATAGCGAGGGAAAGCGAGAGAGAGAGCGAGCGAGAGGGAGAGAGAGATAGACAGTGAGGTAAAGTAAGGTACCCACTTTCCAGGGTAAAAAATGCGACGGTCTGTGCTACCTGCGCGGCGACAACCCGCAATGCCTTCCCATGTGGAACACCACCATCCACCCGGACACAAGTCGGTATTTTTGGCGGAGCTGGTTTTGTAGCGGGGGGGGGGCTTCCCCAGTTCAAAAAGTACGATTTCTACCGAAATGGCCAACTTTTAAACAAAATTTGTACTCGTTAGATATTGCTAAATCTTTCGATAGTTTTTCCGTTGAAAAACAACTAAAATGACCATTGAAATTGTTAAAATGACGTTATTAGACATTTTTGGAATTCGGCTAGCCCTCCCCCTGCCCGATACTGCAAGTAGAGCCATTTTTTAGGCTGCGCTCTCTCAAAGGTGCCCGACGACAAATGTGACAAGGAGGTATCGATTTTTCTATCGCACCTTCAGGCTGGCTCATTCATAGGCGTAGGCTTAGGCTTGGGCTTCGGCTTGGGCTTTCGCTTGGACTTAGGCTGAGGCTTCGGTTTAGGCTTAGGCACAGGCATAGGCTTCGGCTTTCAACCGTCACCTTGTAGTGCACCCTCAAATGCGGGCCAGAGGCGCTTTGCGACAAGGCCGGATCGAAATGCGTGTGCCGCTCGGACTCGAGGTCTTGCATGCGTATGTCGCTAAGTCACACCCCTTTATTTTTGCATTTTTAGTGTGCCAGGATGAGCTGATCAGCGACGACACCTGCAAGAAGCCGTGCGCAAGAGCGGTGAGAGAAAGGCAGAGAGAGAGAGAGAGAGAGAGAGATAGCGGGGAAAAGAGAACGAGTGAACGAGGGATTTTCAGGCGAACACCACCCAATCGACCGAGGGCCTATGCGGCTTCGACGCCTACTGTCTTGGAGACGGAAGCTGCGCCTGCTTGCCCGGCTTAGACCCGATTAGCAACTGCAGCCGTGGGTGGCTTGGGATTCGGCTTGGGATTAGACCTAGGCTTAGGCTTAAGCTTAGGATTAGTCTAAGCCAGTCTATAAGACTAAGCCTAAGGCTTACCATTCGAAGTTGGCTTTGGTATACACTCCCTACCATCACCAACTCGTTGAATTCCAGGCTGCACGGTCGGGTACGACGGCGAAAGGTGCAACGAGGTGATGGCCACCGAGGTGTACAGATACTCCATGGTGCGTATTTTGACTTCCCCTGCTCTCTCTCTCTCCCTCTCTCCCTCTCTCTCTCGCTCTCTCTCATCGCACTGCTTCAGATCGTCGAGCTCGGCCCCAACGACACTATGCCGACCGACGAGCCGCTGAACAGCTCCAACCGCTCCACAACTCCAGCCCCGTCGTCAAAACTGCCCCCTCGCGACAACAAGCCCTCTCTTCAGGGGGAGCGCACCAAGTTGGGCAAGGTTGGCTTATTTGCCAAAAAGCGAAAGGCTGACCCGCAAGAGATCGAACCCGGGCCGTTTGAGTGGAAGCCTAGCACTCTACCAATGAGCCAAAAGGATCAATATTTCCAGATCATCCTCCCGAAGTGCAACCGCACCTGGTCGCTGGCCGTCTCGCCGCCGAGCTTCTGCACGCCGGTGATGCAGTGCGAGGGGAACCAGACATCAACGGTACGTGAGTCTAAGCGAAGCCTCAGCCGAAGCCGATTCTTGAGCTCACGCAGAGTCATTCAGAACACAACCGAATGCTTCTCGTGCCACGAGGGTTGCCTGTCTGGAGATGAGGACTTTGTGGGTGTTTTGTGATTCTGCTAGATTAGAGGTTCTCTTCTCTCTTATCGGGGGGGGGCTTCTAAAATATTTTTATATTCCTAAAGCAAACTTAAGAATAAGCCTTTAGACTTGCTGCAAAGACGTGCAAAACGAGCCGCTCGAAGCTACGGACCCTCCAGAGGAGCCCGACAACTATTGGGTGATTGGTAGGTGTTGCTCTCTCTCTCGCTCGCTCTCTCTTCCTCTCTCTCTCTCCCTCTCTCTCGCTAACTCTTTTCTAGCTGCCAGCATCCTCGGCCTCATCCTCCTCACGCTCGTGCTCGTCTCGATGGTCGCCTGGTGGGCGGTGACCAAGGACGTGAAGAAGCAGCGCAAGCGCGGCAAGGCCAAGATTCTGGATGCTGGCGAGGATGAGGATGACACGTACGATGGGCCAAAATCTGGTTCCTCTCAGCGTCCGTCTGGGTCCCGCGGCGGCAGGAAGAAGTCGTCAAAGGTAGGGCTGGGCTTAGGCTTAGGTTTAGGCTTACTTTTATCGAGCCTTTAGTCGAATAGCAGCCGTCGCGAGGTGAACAACAACAAGTCGTCGAGCCGCACGAAGATGAGCCCGCGAGATGCTGGGAATCAGGAGGTGAGCGAGAGAGAGAGAGAGAGAGCAGAGAGAGAGAGCGAGAGAGCGAGAGATCGATACAACCTACCACCTTTTTCAGTCCCATGACCAGAGTGAAAGCGAGGCCGCCGCCCTCCTCTCCGGGCGCTAGGAGTACTCTACCATCCAACCGGGGGTCAGTTTTTAGCTTTAGGACGTGATTAATCCAATTTTTTTTCCAGCTTGCCTACACTGTGCCGCTCCAGCACAGCTAAAAACGTCCTGACTACAAACTCCAAGCCATTCTTTCGACTTGCAGACGCATCATTTTTTTTGCCCACCCTCCCCCATCTTGATGTGCATCTACACCCACCCTATGTATCTCCCTCTCGTGTATGCACCTTCCCGATCTCTCGCGTGTTCTCTTGTTTTTTGGGTTGCTAATAAAGCATTTTTGGGATGGAATTGGAATCGTTTATTAGCATTATGCGACGAGCGGGTGGTGAAGAAGCATTAATGGGTGTTGGAAGCAGGCTTAGGCTTTGGCTTTGGCTTGGGCTTAGGCTTAGCCATAGGCTTACGCTTAGGCTTAGGTTAGGCTTAGGCTTAGGCTTGGGTTCAAAAATAGAAAAATTGGACTACAAAGTACAAAAGCGTACGAATTGCACCAATGAAAGCACTCAAACGGCATTGGCACGGCATGGAAATGGCCTTTAAAGGGGCCGTCAAGTTTTGAAGTTTGTATTTCCTCGAATTCATAGATATTTTTACTTCACGGCCCCTTTAAAATCCTGGAAACGGCAGAGGATTGGAAAAAGATGATCGTGAAGATAAATAGCAATTGAGGGCTAAAGCTCGAGTGGATTTTTGGCTATTTTTGCATAGAAAATTGCTAAAAAAGGCAAATTGATAAAAGAAATTAAGCGTTTTTTTTCGGCATTTTACGCCAACAAATCGACGGTAGCCAGCGGCGATAGGAATGGGTTGTAGTGGTTGGTGGGTGTGGAGAAATCGATGAGAGGGGCTAAAAAAGGGTATATTGGATTTAGATAAATTTAATAAAGTTTATAGAAGTAAATTAAGAGCTAAAAAGCCCACCATCCAAATCGACATTTTCCTTGTCGCTGACGCTGTCCTCGTTGGCGTTCAAGTCCTTGTCGACCACCTCGGAGACGATTTGGATCGGGATCTGAAATACGGAGGCGTAAAGGATCTCTGCTATCTCTCTCTCTCTCTCTCTCTCTCTCTCTCACGCTGTACCGTACCATCATCTCGGCAATGACAAAATTGTGGGCCCGTCCGATGGCGATTTTGATGAAATATTCCAGGCGCATGATGTCGTCTACCTAAACAGAAAATTCAGAAGAAGTACTAGGCCTCCCCCACCGCAAAATTTGGCGTCAACGCCGGCAAGTTCAGGTCGGGGCGGAACGTCACGGAGTCGTTCACCGGGATCTTGGTGAGATGGGCGGGGAGACCGACTCCTGAAATGGTATTATCCCACAGGTTCGTGCTCTCTCTCTCTCTCTCTCTCTCTCTCTCTCTCTCCCGCTCTCTCCTACCTGTACAATCGTGGTTGTAGACCTTCTTCAGCGTGACCTCCTCGTACTTCTCGTGGGCTCCCTGGCAGTCTAGCCGCCGGACGACGTTGATATGGACGTATTTTAGGGATTGTTTCCAGCTAAAATCATCTTAAAGTGACCGGAAAGGCCTAAACTTCTCAAAAAAGCTATGTATTAACCTCCAATTGGCCTTTAAAAATACCCTACAAGGATTTCAACCAGAAAATAACGCTAAATATGTCTAACCTACCGATTCTGAATCCGAATTTCCATCGGAACTTTTTCAACTGATGTGAAATACGCCTTCTCCAGTCGGCATTCCACCTCTACGGATCGGCCCCTAAATTTTTGAATTGAAACTTTAAACGCGTAGCGGTTGCCATTTAAGTTTTGCAGCGGCGCGACCGCCGCATAGCCGAAGCGAAGCGGCTTAACCCACTTGTTAAAGCTGAACGTCTTCTGATGATTTTTTGGGCGCGACGCGACGCTTCGCAGCACACGATTCGGGGCCACGATCGAAACCTGTTGTTCTGCGGTGTAGAGGACGTCGCCGAAGAGGCTGAGGGAGGCCTGGAAAAGGAAGTGTAAGCCTACGCCCAAGCCTTAAGCCTAAGACTAAGCATAATACTGCTAGTACGTAGTTAACACTAACCTTTACAAAGTACCGAACATGTCCCGGAGAGCTGGGATAGCTAAAAGATGTCGCAGCCGAGTGCGGCACCAGAAACCGGAAGCGGTACACGCAAGGTGTCGGAATCACCGCAGAGTTCTGAGCTGTGGAAGCCTAAAAAAATACAGGCTTTATCGATAGCTTACCTCTTCTGCGGAGTTTTCTAAAAGTTGACCAGCCGGAACGAATCGCCATAGGACCAGCTCTTCGTCGGCCATCTCCTTGGAGGCCGTGTAGGTTTGGGTTTTCTCGTATTCCTGAACGTTTAGAGTTAGACGGGCTTAGGCTTAGGCTTCGGCTTAGGCTTAGGCTTGCCTTAAGCTTAGGCTTAGACTTGGGATTGGGCTTGGCATATGCATAGACATAGGCTTAGGTTAGGCTTAGGCTTAGGCTTAAGCTTAGGCACGTCTAAGCTAAGTAACCAAAATTTACCTGAAACCACACCGTAGCCTTCCCAGAAAAATGGGCTGTCAGCCGATCGGCGGGCACATCGTAGGGGGCATGCAGGCGCACGGTACCCTGAAAAATGAAGATGAGATTCCGCTACAATACTACTAACCATGCATAACTACAAATGACAAATATCTAAATATAAATTAATGCCTAATTACCTACCGTAACATGATCCCCGGGGGCGTAGAGCTGATTGTCGAGGTTCAGCTCCAGCTTGACCCGTTCCATTTTGAGGCCCGGCACTAAAAAATTGAGTTTTTCGGTTACGCAATGACATTGGACATGAAGAAGATAAAAATATACACTACACTACTCTATACGAACGGAGCAGGAAGTGATGGAACGACCTTGGAATTGCAGCAATTTGGCCGCCAGAGCTCGGGAATTTGCATAGAGCGAGAGCGAGAGAGAGCGAGAGCGAGAGAGAGAGAAAGGTAGGCAGTCCGACATTGTACGAACTGACGCGTCTGTAGCTGGTGACTTGGCTGTATTGGGGCTACAGATCTGTTTGTTATGATACGGGAGCAAAAGGTAAATAAATATACCAGAAGTTGGAGCATGTTTTAGAAAAACAAACTTCGTAGAGGTCAAGAAGCGCTTGAGTACGAAATTGAGCGTTATTTCCCACCGCAGAATACCCTTTATAAATACGAGAAGCCCACCAACAAAGGTATTTACACCGGATCTTGACCTCTCCCTCTCTGTCTCTCTCTCTCTCTCTCTCTCTCTCTCTCTCTCTCTCTCTCTCCCTCTCCCTCTCCCTCTCTCGCTTCAAAACAATACAATCACCAGAGGGCATTTCCGACATCTTCAGGGAAATAAAATTGCCCTAGAAATGACGAAATTCACGCGCTCCGCACAAACAAAGCGACCCTCAACCCCGTCCAATAATCCTATTAATACGAAAGAAAAACGATTGGGGAGGGGAAGCTGATTCATCCCCGATTTCCGGGAAGGGTGTTGTGCAACAAAGGGCGATTAGAATAACAACAAGAAAGAAACGTATACACGTGATGAAAAAATGAAAAATTATGTCAAAATGTCGTCAAATTTTATAGTGTGTCTGAAAAATTAGGTGAATTTTCGGTGACGGGAGAGTCAGAGCGAGAGAGAGAGAGAGAGAGAGAGAGAGAGAGAGAGAGAGAGAGAGCGAGAGCGCGAGAGAGAGAGCGAGAGCGAGAAATAGAAGAGATAAATAGTGATAGATTGAGCGACGGAGAGCCAGTTGGCGATAGAGAGAAAGAGAGAGCGAGAGATAGAGAGAGAGAGAGAGAGAGAGAGAGAGGAGAGAGAGCAATTTAGCTAGTGAAATATTCCGATTTTTAAAGGGATGCTGCCAGCTAGATCCGCGCCGCTTATTCGTGACAAAATCAAGAAAGTGAAAAAAAACACGAGAATCCGTCCGTTGCTTCAACCAATTACACGATGTAAACCCCCAAAAAATCCTCAAAAACACCCAAGATACAGTATCTCGGTAATTAACGAAATGCACCTTTAATCCAAAAATTCCGCCACCGGCCACCCGCCAAATATTTGCCAAAAAATTATCGGAAGACAGAAAAATTAGCGTGGCTTATGATGGTAGTATAAGTATACCGAATGGCTTACTTGAATCAGCCGGCCCACTAGGAGGAATTGGGACAAATACACGGGGACAAACAGACGAACAGAGGCTGCGACACAAAAACGGCCATATTTGCACGCGTAACAAACAGAAGGAGGGGGGCCCTCTCGGGGGGTGGACCCAAAAAAGGCGCCGAGTAGGGCGCTGAACCGGAACAAACCGTCATTGCGGGGCCCGAAATATCGAAAGTCCCGGAACTGGGCACTCGGGGAGGTGGGGGGATGGTCCAAGGGTTGGAGGGCAAATAGAAACTTTAATTGAGGATTTGATTAGCACTTCGAGGTGGGGGAGAGAGAGAGAGAGAGAGAGACAGAGAATGAGCCATAATGAGAAAGAGAGAGCATGAGGGAGAGAGAGAGAATAGCAGAAATTGAGCGGGAGCGTAAATACTCTAAAGGGGTAGCGACGGTAAGGTGTCGTAAAATATTCCACGGATTTAGCGCGTCCAGGAGGGAGGGAGAGAGAGCGAGAGAGAGAGAGGGAGAAAAAGAGAGAGAGAGAGAGAGAGAGAGAGAGAGAGAGAGAGAGAGAGGGAGGGAGAAAGAGAGAGAGAGAGAGAGAGAGAGAGAGAGAGAGAGAGAGAGAGAGAGAGGGGGGAGACAATGGCTAAAAACTGAAGAAATCCACCCGGTCAGAGCTCAAAATTTCAAATACACCTCACAAAACCTAAATACACTCTGCTCACCCCCGTATGACCAGCCCACTCAACCCCTTCCTCCTTATCTACACCCCAGATTTTGGGGCTTTTTAGGCGGTTTTCGTAAGCCCCGCAAAAACCTTCAACCACCCCGTGCCCCCCAGCTGGGAACCGCGAGCTGTTGACCGGTTTTTCCTGGGTTTTTGTCTGTATGAGAAAGTCGGGGAGGTCGAGCTCGATAAAATCTGAATTTTTGAGCTTGAGACGGAAAATAAGGAGATTGGGGGAAACTGGACCTCTAGGAACCGCGAGCCGGTGGCCGGTTCCAGGTTATTTTGTGTAACGGGAAAGTCTAGGGAGCTCGAGCTCATTTGGAGCATGAGATTTAAAATGGAAATCGTGAGTTGTAGCTTGGAGGAACGTGAATCCGGGGATGGGGCGCTCCAACAAAAAAAAACAGTCAGCTGATCGGGGGCGTTGCGTCACAAAGGTCCCGCTGGAGGATCAGTTAGGATAAATAAACTGTGAAATAGACTAAATAGACTTAATGCATTACCAAGGGAAAAACGAGGCAAAAAAAGGTAAATTAAAGGAGCTGGGAGCTGGGTGCCGGGAGCAATCCAGGAATTGCGCATGAAGGCCGCCAATTGTAGGAGATTGAGCTGGGGAAAAGAAAGCTATTTGGAGCCTTAGAAGTCCAATGAATAATGAGAATCATAAAATATCACCCTATAAAAACAGATCTGAGCCGGGAGCACGAGAGCTAAGGAAAAGCTGAAGGAGCTGGGGCCAGGGAGCTGACAGAGAGCCAGAAAGAATATAAACGGAGCAAGGAGCAACACCGACATTTTTAACCAATGTTTAGCTTACAGCTCCCAACTCCTAGCTAGCAAGCTCCATCTAACAGCCCTTTCAAAAATATATTAAAAGTTCCGGTTTCTGAGCCAAAAAACGGTCCAACCACCCAAGACTCTCTGTACTTTCGGCCAATTCAAAGAGCCGCCAGGGCGAGTTTTAGCGTCTAATAAAACTGTCTAATTCCCCCCGCGACGACCACCTGATCCGGGCCCGAATTCGAGAACAATTGACCCCGGGGCTGTTATCAGTATTTGCCGGAAAAATCGAAGGCATACCCCGGTAGACACAAAAAACTGGGTGATCACTTCTCGGTGGGCGGGGCTTGTCGAGGCGAAACAAATATTTGCTTGATGCTGAGCTTCTAGTTGGTAAGCTAGTGTGGATTTTTTGGGAAGGTTTTTGGAAAAATGAGAAAAAATAGGCACGGAATTGTCTTGCAAGATCTCGAGCTATACAAAAGTGTGGCAAGGATTTTCAGGATGTCAAGGTTGGAACACTTAAAAATCGAGAACAAGCTTCGGCATAGGCTTCGGCTTCGGCCTAAGTCCAAGACGAAAAATCAAACCCGTAAAGCGCCTGAGGGACGCCCCGGTGAAAATCGACCCACAGCAGCTGGGGCGAGGTGGTAGTGATGGTTCCAAATGCGGCACATAGACTGTCCTTGAGTGGGAGAGAGGGAGAGAGAGAGAGAGAGAGAGAGAGAGAGAGAGAGAGAGAGAGAGAGAGAGAGAGAGAGAGAGAAGCGCTGGAGTCAAAAGCAGAAAGCACAACCCTATGGGGGCATGGGAACGGGTAGGCGGGAGCCCTCCCGAGGTCGTCGCCAAAATTGGATTCGGTGAATGAAAAATGGAAAAGGTTAGAGAAAATGAAGCCTAGCCTATGGAAAAAAAATTTATGGCATGAATTAAAGTGTTTTTAAAGTACCCGGCAAACAATGGTAAAAAATGATGAGGAAAAGAAGTCACTTTGTCAATTTTACGCGCGTGCAATCCAGTTTAAAACTTACCTCAGACGTTTAGGTCTTCCCGGGGATTCGTGGAGAAAATATAAGCCTGAAAGTTCGGGCTCCGAAGAAAGCCAGCGTCCTAGCCATAGATGCAGGGCGGAACGTCATAAAAGACTCGGCCCAAAACTCGGGGGAACCCCGCTGAAAACCGGTTTCTGACTATGCACAGCAGATTTCTTACCAGAAAATGCTCCAAAAACGGCTAAAATCGACGCAGCACAATTCAAACTGAAGTCCGAACGGCCTGCAATGCGATGTTGGTCAGAATGGCTGGTACTTCGGGGTAGTTTTTGTAAAAAATCCTGAACGCCGCAACGAAATTTCGCGAAAGCACTGTTTAGGCAATCCAAATCCTACTAAACGATTTCGAAGGTGGATCGACAAGTCGTTTACCAGATTTTGTTGCAAATATATTGGAGAGGAGCGTCTCGAGCGTTTCATAGGACGATTCTTATTATTGTAGTAGAGACAATAAAAAATTAGAGATCGAGAGAAGGAGCAGTTACAAAAAAGCGTGTAGCCGCCATCACCCTTGGAGGATCAGGTCTGCCCCGGAAGGAAGGCGACAGATGCCAATAGTTGTAAAAGTGTCCTCCTCGTTTTTTAAAATAAAACCATATTTTCTACAGCTTGACTTTCAACATCCAGTAAAAATGAACATTCAAAAATTTCTCGTGGAAAAATTTTCATGACTTTGTTCCGCGCAAATTCCGTTTCGTTACTCTGTTAGCCGGGTCCCACAGCGGCCAGTTGCTCGCAAGCATCTACCGTAGCGCTGAAAATCAACCCGAGGGCCCGCAACGTTCTCGCCATTCTCAAAAAAACGGCTTTTTGTTTCGTTGGTCTTTCATTTTTTCATTCTGCTTTCAATTTGCTTTTTTTTCTGCGCCTGCCTGGTTTGTTGTTCAGCTCTTTCAGCCTTTCGCTTTTAGGTAATTCTGATCACTTTTTTCCGCCTCTCACGTCTGGGATTCACCTGATCACATAATTTTTCAGAAAATGCGTGGACTCGCCTACCAACTTTTCTCCGACTACAAGCCGCCTACGCCCGAAGAGGAGGAAGCTGAGCTGCGTGAGCTTATGCGCCTGGATGCAAAGTACGGACACTTGCCTCTCTTCAATGGCCCGCTCCCCCGCACCAACGCTTCGAGGGCCACGTCGACAAGCTCGGTTTCGACACTCGAACGCGGCAACGGATCGACACTCGTTGAAGACAGTGGTAAGGTTTTGGCTTGCTTCAATAATTTATTGATTAGGTGCTGGCTCGAACACTGAAGATGGGCTCCTCTCTTATGAACATGATTCTGAAGTCGACACGAAGAGCCTCTCGTCGCTGAAGCTTCAGGACCTCGACTTGCAGCATGCATTGGCTAATCCGTTGCCTATTCGCGACAGTCTCCACCCACGCATCGCACCGGCCAACCGTCAGGGTTTCCAAACGGTATTTTCTCGTGTTCTTATTTGCAATGCTGTTTAGGTTGCGCTGGGAACCAACATGTACCGCATCAGGATTGCGCGTGAACAGTGGGTGTTTCGCTACGACATCGGAGTGGAACTCGTGATCAAGGACGGCGAGCGCGGTGAAAAAGTCATCTCCTTGAACCGAGGTGTCCGCGACGAGTGGGTTGCTTTCCTTCCTTCAAGTTTTGTTGCTTCAGTAGCGAGACCATCCGCCGGTCGGAGATTATTCGTGCTGCCTTGCGTGTTGCCCTCGAGGCTTACAGCATCATGCGTCAGAGTGCTGCTGGTGTCTTTGACGGCCAGAACATTCTCTTCACGAATGAGGACATCGAGGCTGCTTTGAAGCCGGTATAATAATTGTTGTTGATGCAACCCTTCCTTTTTCAGCACCACGGCACTTTGACACTTGCACTCGCTGATATGCCGCCGGAGGTCCGCGAACTGTTTTACTCGCGTGATACCGCGGAGCTACGTGTAACGATTCGACCTACCATGTAAGATTTTTCCTTGCATGTTTTATTTGGTCCTAGGACTGGAGATCAGCGGTTCCGCATTGGCGACATTGAAGATAAGGTGAAGGACGGCAAGTTGGGAGACGTCGATCGGCCGCTTCGGCAATTCTACGAGCTTCTCACGAACGAGGCTGCAGCCGCAAAGTGATTGAAGCACTTAGATTTATTCGTTTCCTAGGAATGACTATATGTTCTTCGGATCCGGCCGTGGCTACTTGACCGACCCTAAATATTCTACCGCGATCAAATACGGTCAAGAACGGAAGCCAGGATTCAATAAGGTACAATCGACGTTATGCGAAACTTCGCTTTTAGGGTACTTGCTTTGTTGACGGCATGAGCGGGGAAGATCGTCTTATTACTGCCCTAGTGATCGATGCAAAGCTGGGAAATTTTTACCGCCACGAGCCACTCATCAATATGGTCACGGCGCTCTGTGAAAGAAGAAGCCCCGATGAAGTGACCTGGAACGAAAAGTCCCTGAAGCTGGTGCACCGCCAGCTCAAAGGTTTGAATACTTTGCCGCATCTTCAATGTTTTTAGGCATACGACTTCAAACCAAAGACGCCAACAAACGCTCCTTTGTCTGCCAGGGCTTGGAAATCCAAGAGCTAAAATTCAAGACTATCATGGACTGCACGGCTCGGGTTCATGGATCCAATATTGAAGTTCCGCTAGCCGATAGATTCAAGGAGCAAGGAATCCTCATCCGGTACCAAAGTGTTTCGTTTATGACGATGGATTTAGGCACATGAACTGGCCCGTGGTCGTTGAAAAGAGGATGCAGGGCCCGGATTTCTACTATCCGATCGAGCAATTGGTGGTGTGCCCGAATCAGCGAGTCCCGCTTGCCAAGGCGCTTGAGAACCCGGAGCGCGCCTGGCCACCCACTCAACGCGTCGCAATGATCAACAACCATCTCAACGCGCTGAATCTGGGAAGAAACAACGAGATCTTTGCGAAGTACGGATCTTTTTGGTTTTGTAAATTTGTACTGCTTCTAGGTTCGGTGTCACCATCGATACGACCCCGCTTCAAACCACGGGCTTCCGCCGTAGCGCTCCGAAAATCGAATACGGCAACAATTTGGCGGCCCCGACAGATGCCTCCAAGGTAAAATTGGCTAGATTCTTAAACTAGTGATTAGGCGACCTGGCGCAGCGGCCACGCTAAATACAAAGAAGGAGCCAACATCGACATGCTTGTCGTTATTTGGAACGGAAGTGACGGAAGCGGCCCGCCCAATAGCCGCGTACCCCCAGATGTCGTCTTCGATGCGCTGAAAAACTTCCTCGCGGTGCTGAAGACTTCGACCACGAAGAAGGGCATGTCGATTCGTCAGATTGAGTTCATCAAAGAGCCAACCAACCTGAACGCTGAGATGACGCAGGGCAATATCTTCGAAAAGGTGTGCTGCTATTTTCTACGATGCATGTCAATTTAGGCACGTGCTGAGCGCAAAACACGCGGCCCTGATGCTAAAATCATCGTTTTGTACGTTGATCCGGCCGAGAATAAGACACATGGAGAGCTCAAATACCTGGAGTCGAAGTACCAAATCGTCACGCAGCACCTGGCTCTACAGGTCGTCCAGAAATCTACTCGCGGTGGTGCGGCGACCATGGAGAACATTCTTGCCAAGTTGAATATGAAAGCCGCCGGACTGAACCATGTGGTCGCACCTGAAGCATTTGCGTAAGTTTCTGAGCGTATATTTATTCTTTGTTTTAGTTCGAGTCTGTGGCTCGGTTCGACGCTCATTTTCGGTTACGACGTCTGCCACCCAACACGCCAAACAGTCGCGGAACGTGCGCTGGGCATTGCGGCTGATACCCCTTCGGTCGTCGGGGTAAATTATGGCTGGTTGCATTAACCTAGATTTAGTTCTCACACAACGCGTCGAGGAACCGCAATCTCTTCGTCGGAGACTTTGCGTATCAAGAACCTGGCGAGCGGGTCGAAGATTCCGTGCTCAACGAACGTATGAAGTGGATGCTCCGCCACTGGCTGCAACATCGAGGACCGGAGCTTCCGGAACAAATCCTTGTCTTCCGTGATGGTGTATCGGAAGGACAATACGACATGGTTTGTTAGCTGTGGTTTTCATTTACTTACGTTTTAGGTGGTGCGCAACGAACTTTCGGCGCTGGAGGAGGCTTGCGACGAGCACAAGCCAGGCTATCGTCCTCGTTTCGCCGTTACCGTCGTCACCAAGCGCCATCACAAGCGCTTCTTCCGGAACGGCCCCCGCGGTGTGGAGAACCCTGAAGCCCTCACTGTCGTTGATCAAGACGTTGTAAGAACTGACCGGACGAACTTTTACATCCAAAGCCACACTCCGCTCCAGGCAAGCTTGTTTACGCTTGTTTATTTATCTTCTTGTTCAGGGAACGGCGAAGGCCAGCCAGTATACACTCGTTCACTCGGATATCCCGGAGATTACACAAGATAGTCTCCAGTCGCTTGTCATGGCACTATGCTTCGAGCATCAGGTAATATTTTAACTTCTTGCCACTTTTTTGTTTAGATCTGCCCAATGCCGATCTCTATTCCTGAACCCGTCTACCAAAGCGACGAATGGGCTGAGCGCGGAGACGCCCTGATCAAGGTCTACAAGTATGTGATAGTCTCTGGCCTCTTATTCGATTTTAGGGATAATTTCCGCCTTCCGCGCAAGGGCGACAGCAGCAACCGTGGTGACGACAAGAGACAGCCGGTGGACTGGGCCGAGATGACGAAGCGCCTCTCCTACATGAACCGGCCCCTCGACGGACGGCGCACGAACGCCTGAATCGCACGTGTTCATTTTGTTTGCTTTGTTTTTGTTTATGTATGATTATTTGAATAAATATGTTAGTTAAAAAGATGTTGCACAGAGGGCAAGAGCACATGCGCATACGTAACTCATGCAAAAGTCGTTTGGGGTTTAAAAAGTGGGTGTCTATTTCCGTGCGTAACTTTGAATCCCGGAAGTGGATACATTTCGGCAGGATCCTGATTCAAATAGAGTTGCGGGGTTGAAATCTATTGATTCTACGGCCCTAGCACTTACCGGTGCACCGAACGGTCGACCGGTGGGTTTTCAAAGCGGTTTTGTTGAATCGTATTGCTTGTTTTACAGATCGTTGTCGACAATGGCACAACCCCTCCTCCTCATCGGCCAGGCGGCCGTCTGCGGCTACGTGTTAGCCCAGTGTGGTGGCAAGAAGAAAGGAGACGACGATGTGCTTTTTTGTTATCTCAGGCTTGCCTCCGTTCGGATTTCCGTTACCGATATTGTCATTCAGGAAGGAGACAGCAGCGCAAGCGCTCCCCCTAGCGCTCCTCCCGGTGCCCCTCCTGGCGCGGCAAAATCGAAGCCTGGCACGCCCGGGAAAGCGCCTGCCGCGGCCGGCGGCGGTGGCGGCGCCGCCCCGGCTGCGCCACCTGCTAACGCGCCGAAAGCGCCGGCACAGGGCGGCATTGCCGGTAGGACACAAGTAGCAACATTACATAGCGAGCCATCTACGAAAATGCTGTTCTATTTCAGGAACCCACGACCCGAACTATCAGACGCTTGCTGGCGTCGGCGGCGAGGTTTTCGGGGCCGACAAGAAGGCTGGTGGAGGAGGCGGTGCTGCTCCTGCTCCTGCAGCTGGAGGCGGCCCGAAGGCCCCGGCTGCTGGCGGCATCGCTGGTAATTACGATATGGTCTTTTTATTTTTATCTTTTGTGTTCAGGTACCCACGATCCGAACTACCAGACGCTGGCTGGTGTCGGGGGCGACTGCTTTGGCGCCGACAAGAAGGCGGCTGGCGGCGGTGGCGGCGGAGGAGGTGGCGGCGGTGGCGCTGGTCCGAAGGCCCCAGCGGCCGGTGGAATCGCTGGTAATGCCAAGTTCTTGGCTATTAAAGTTGCGTATCATTTAGGTACCCACGACCCGAACTACCAGACGCTGGCTGGCGTTGGCGGCGACTGCTTCGGCGCCGACAAGAAGGCCGCTGGTGGAGGTGGCGGCGGAGGTGGTGGAGGCGCGGGCCCGAAGGCGCCGGCTGCTGGCGGCATTGCTGGTGGGTTCAATTTTTTTTTAATATAGGCTCCCTACTGGCCTACATACCAAAATACCAAAATGTTCGTCTTGGTCTTACGAGTATTTTGGTATGCTTTACACCCTGGGGTCAACGGGGAGCCGAGGTGCAGTAAATTTTTTACCGGCGTTTTCGGATAAAACTTTCTAATTTTGTATTACAATTCAAGGCCCATTTAACGATTATTTTCAGGCACCCACGACCCCAACTACCAGACCCTCGCCGGCGTCGGCGGTGACTGTTTCGGGGCCGACAAGAAGGGCTGAACATCCCGGAAACGTCGCCATCCGATTACCCCCCCACCCTCGTCCCCCACGATCGAATCTCTCTTGCTCGTCAGTGTCGTCTCGTCTCATTCTGTCACCTGGATTCAATTCAATGTGCGCAATATTCGCTTTTCATCCGGTTCCACCCGCTCGAATTTCTGTGTGTCTTTTCGAACCGTTCTTAGCCGCGAAATAAACATTTATTGATTTTGGACTTGGATTCATTTTTTGTTTGAATAATTGAAGGTGTTACTTACCAATACTTCCCGTTTTTTTTGGTCTACGCCTCGAGGATTGTCACTTGTGAGGTGCCAAGCGACACGGGCTCCTCGTTTGTTTGGTAGCGCACCCCGTCGAGTGGCGGTTTTGGGCCGCGCCGCGGGCGACGGCATAGGCGTGCTGAAATCGCGTAAAAAGGATTTTTGGTATTTTGATGACGGATTTTCGTTTCTACACTGTAGTTAAACGCATAACTCTTCAATTTAGATTGAAGGAGTAAAATTAGGGATTTTTTTTGCCCTAGAATGGCGGATATCGCTCAAAATCTCAAATTTTTAAACATTTTTGTAAGTTTTTAAATACTCGAGGTCTGAAAACCCACCAATAAACGTCAGAATCGCCCTACGATAGTTGCTCTCAACATAGCAAAGTCCAATTGTGTGGATAAGCCCGTGCATCGAGATCAGCACCCAGGCCGAGTTGACGAGCTCTAGAAAATCGATACGTATTCTACGTAACCGCCTCTCCACACCGTTCGCATTCCAAATGTGCAAAAAGATGATGAACGCCACGAAAATCGCCGGCTTCACCAGCGTCATCATGAAGACCGCGAGCTGAAGGTTTTGGCATTTGGTAAGGTAATACTCGTACTACTACGGGTGTTATTATTACCCAAAATTTAGGCTCCTCAGCTTACTCTAACTTTCATCCCCTTTGCGATGAGCTTCATGCCGGGGTCCATATCATCGGCGGCGTATTTGAGAAGCGCTCGCACTTGGCGCATCGAGCTCCAGGTGAAGCCGACTTGCAGCCACAGGTAGGTCTAGAAAGTTGATGAACTTGTTAAAATAAGGTTGATTTTCAACAGACTATGAAGCAAATTCAAAGCTAACACAATAGTCTTAAAGCAGCTTGTAAAGCTTAGGAGATCATTTTTGAACTGACTTACCCCATACACTGTTGCAGTGACCATCAAAAACTTTGCAAATTGATGGAAGACGGGTAGGTAGAAGACGAGCGACGTCTGCACCAGAGCCACCGGCTTGTAAATGGGGTAATTCTAAAGTTAAAATAGTTTTAATACAATGCAGCTTTTTACCTCGATCAACAGCCGCTTTTGCTCGTCTTGGTCTTCAAAAAGATCGTCGGTCGTCAACAGCAGGACGGGCAACGAAAAGTAGGCCAACATCGAAACGGCAGCCTATAATAAAATTACGAAAATAGTTTTTATTTTAGCGCTTTTTACGATTGGTTGAAGTTTTTCATTGTACCATTTACAGCTATTTATGTAGTACGATTTTTTTAAGTGTTACCTTGCAGTGTCACCGTTTCTTTTTGTTGTTTGAAAATACTTTATTGGGAATACAAATATCTAATAAATCGAGCACACAAAAAACTACGAATAAAAAGGGTCGGGTGAGATGCGAGATAAGGCGGCGAATAATTAAAAATAAAGTGCTTTTATATAGGAATCGGTGGCCGACGGGCGGCTAAACATTTCGGCTCCCTGGCCAGATGATCGAAATACTCGTGCGTCTCGAACTCGCAGCCACACGTCGCGCACATGCAGTGGGCCGGGATTTTGATGGAGTCTGGTATCGGCTCGTTAGACGCGGCTTCTCGCTCCTTTTTCGGTGTTGGAAACCTTGGAGGCACTGTGCGAGGCCCTCGGTAGATTGGGTCCATATCATCGTCGATTCTGAAGGGGAAATGTGAAAATTCGGTTCGGTTTAAAAGAAAAAGAGTAATTGGAGGGAGGTAACGTATCAGAAACTATTTTAAGTCTTCTAGCAAAAATTTAGTTGCATTTCGAGCGGCCAAACCGTTTAAAAACCAATAAAATTTGTTAAAATTTTGAGTTTTTAGTAGAACCGGTGCTTTTTCTGCGAAAACTGGTATTATTTTTTTGTATTTTCTAATCAAAATTTCACGTAAGGGATAGTAAAAAAACGTAGAAATAATTCCTTTACTTTTAGTGGAAAACATAGCTCATAAAACGCTTTTCCGCAGCCAATACGAAAGAACCAAAGCAAACGTATAGCCAAAACCAACCTATAAGTGTGTAGATGAAAGCGCTGCGGCTTCGTGCTCTGCTCCAACAACGCCATCCATCCATTCGCCTTGCAACGGTGGCCCAAGATGATGCGTTGCTGTTGAACAACATGGCCTGGCTGGTTGTACACGCGTTGCTTGACGCAGTTGTGGTGGATGATGTGGGTGAGCGAGAGCGTGTTGAGCCGGCAGTTTTTGCAGTAGTAGGGCAGCACGCGGGGCAACGGCAGGGCGCGCCGGGCTCGCTTCAGCATTTTTGCCGGGCTTTTTGGACGTCCGAGTATCCGCTTGAATCGCGGGATTTGCGGTAGTAGCGAGTGGAGGGCAGGGTGGATGTATTTCACCTAAATTTCGAGGGTTTTGTGATTTCGAACAAAATCACAAAATACTTTTCTTCTAAGGCTTTCAATATACCAATACGTAAATATTTCTAAATAAAGGCTCGTTTTTCAGCAGATAGTTTAATTTTTAATTTTTGTTCAACTTTTCAACAGGTTTTGAGCAGATAGCAAAATTGACAGAACCTTATAAAAAATGATAAAGCCGGAAATTCGATTCAAAGGCTTTCCGACCGTTTCTACCTCCTCCTATTTCTATCAATAATTGCAATTTTAGAGATAACTTTATTTGGACTTTTGGGTATAAAAATTTAGCATACGTTGATAAGGTAGGCAAAAACGATGCAAAGTAATTATAGCATTTATTTTTAAGTATATAATTCATTAAATATTACCCACCTGACTGCTCGGGCACGTAGCCAACGTTATCCGCCGCTTGCCCAAAAACGCAGGATGTGGCTTCCGAACCGTTTTGTACATTTTCGCTGCCGGCCGCCGGGTTACATGTCGCTTTGCGCGGATCAACGCGCGTAAGTCGAAGTCTTGTACGTCAGAATTGTTCGGCTTGCAATCCGCATGGATGTTGAAATCGATCGTGGAGACATCGCTGTCGGGCGTGAGTAGATGGTCTAGTTTTTCGCCCCGTTTCGGTAACCGATTCTCCTTCGGCAGATCCGGGGGGCTGAGGCTGGCCTCGAGGCGGCGTATCGTTTCCTCGTCGTCACGTAGATGCGGCGGCAGGCGGCCGGGCAGCCAGTTGCTGAGCGGACGTGCGGGTGGCGGGGCGCGGTAGCGTTTTGTTGGTGTATCACCGTCACTTTGTAGGAGTTGTCCGAAATTCGGCGAGACAGCGGGCTCGGGGCGCCGCATTTCCAGGCCGACTTCCATCGTCTGCAATTAGCAATGGGTTTTTGGGAAAGTAAGGTGATAAAAAGAGCATTTAAAAAGGTGTATAAAGTATACGTAAACGCATAGACAACGATATCAACATTTTGCAGGGGGATAAATAGGGTGGTTTCATCCTCTACAGCTAGAAATGCGGTTTGTTGCGTATAGAAGGTGATAAAAGGTCTTGTAAAATGTATGTATATCGGACAGGAAAAAGAGGAAAAAGGCTATAACGGATAGAAAAGCAACAGAATCATGAAATTCACACTTTGAATGGTATCAAACACCCAAATGAAGATCGTGATCTGGGACACTGATAGCGCAAAATAGCAAACACACTAATGGATGACTGCTGACAAGGCCTGCGTGTCGATAGGAAACATTTGTGGTTACGAGAATTTAATAAAGTTAAAGTATGGATGTTACTGTAATATATGCACTCTAACTTTGGAACATGGTAGGTTCTTTATGGAACCGGCAGATGTCAAATGTCTGTTTTGGTTTGTAGTCCACGCTTTGAACGCGTGGGAGGTTTTATCTTTCTTTGGGGGGTTTCAATTGTTTTTCATGTTCTTCTTATATTTACATATGTTTTAATGCTAGGTTTTATATGCCTTCAACTGCTATACATTGAGAGAGTTTACAAGCTTTTTAACTTCCAGGTCCAACTAGCCCATTTGACAACGTAAAGAGTTATTTACCTTTTTGCTTACACCTCTCTGTTTTTACATGTTCAATCCTCTGCTCCATACCTTCAACTTTGAGGGCAGTTTACAAGCATGGCCGTTGGGGAGCACGAGTTGCCAGTGGTAGAGCCCGAGGTGCGTGCTGGCCGAGCAGGAGATTGCCATCACCGCGACCACCATTCCCTGGAAATGATTTGATTATTGGTGTTTGTTAAAAGGAGCATTAAGAGGTTGATTTTGATCGATATCTTATTACTTTTATCACTTACAAACTGGAGCTCGGTGGTGATGCCGAGCTGGGCGAAAAGCCCGGCAGTATACCCAGCCGGAAGGGGCAGAAAAACGACCGGTGTCACGCAGAAGCCAAGTAGAAAGTCTTGAAATAGGGCCCAAAACTGGAATAAGTATTTTAATTTGTCTTAATGTTGTATTATGGCAGTTTTTATTGCATTCCATCACATCCTAAGGTTTAAAAAGACCATAAAACACGCGAAAAACTTTTTCTTGGCCATTTTCGTATATTTCGTCACTCATAAAGTCTTGTAATTAATTTGAAGAGCCATAGTAGCTGTTTTAGTATTATTTTAAAGTTTTCTTTAGGTTTTTAGCGTCCATAAGTTTTTTCTTTGAATTTTCCAGTGGATTATAACGGTTTTCAACCGTTTTAATTTTTCCATACCTGAGCATTTGCTAACTGCCATCGTATGCGTTGTAGATGCTCGGGCGAGTGCCGAATAATGGCGTACAGTCCGAGCAGGTTGAACGGCAGCCCCAGGCAGGCCAGCGTGTTCATTGCCTTAAAAAGAGGTTTTAATGTATACCTACAATAAATAAGGATAAAGTTGATGTGTAAAAAGGCACATTAAAAGCGCGTTCACTGGCGCTTCGCGTAGCTCTGCATCGACAACGTTTGACTCCTTTCAACGCCGTTATTCTACGCGCACGTTACAGTTTGAGATTTCGCGCGTATCGCTACCATTGACTTACCTTTATATAGAACCCAGGGCGCAAGTCGAAATCGGAAACGTTGTACACCGCATCGGCGAACATTTTCAAGGAGTTCAGGCCGGAATCTCGAAACTAATCGACTTATGGCTTGAGTTGGGCTCCCAAAAGCTTTTGTAGCCGGTTGGGGCCCCCGGTCCATTCCCATAGCAACAATTAAGGGCATTCGGGGGAAGCGCCTGAAAAAAGGGTGGCAAATTTCCGGTGATGTAGGGACGGTAATTTTGATCTATGATATTTTGCACTCTCTCTCTCTCTCTCTCTCTCTCTCTCTCTCTCTCTCTGTCTTTCTCTCACTCTCGCTCTCTCTCGCTGTCTCTCGTTGTTGTCTCTCGGTTCATCGCGCTCTATCGCACGTTCTATCGCTTCTCTCTCACTCGCTCTTTCGTTCTCTCTCTGTCTCGCTCTCCCTCTGTCTCTCTCTGGCTCCCTCTTCATTTGCATGTTTTGTCATTTCGGACGCATAATTCAAAAGTTATTTACAATTTTTATTCATCTTCAAAGTGTACTTGCTAGACCAGCTCAAAAAAGTATATGGAAATATGGCAAAGTGAGGGGTGGTGGGGCAAAAATTTTGGACCACGGCGATTAAAGAATTTCTGAAATCGAGGCCCAGTGTCCAAAATTTCACTGGGCTGCTGGGGGATACCGGTAACGAGGCGGAATCGGGTTTTTTGACGAGAGCGTGGAAAAATGGGGGAAAATCGACAGTCCAATGGCGGGAAAAGGAATAGAAGGATTGAGAAGGTATATTCGATCACAAATGCAAAGTTTTGGGGGGTGAGAAATATTGTTGGGGCCACCTGACTAGCGAGTGGAAGCTGAGCGTAGGCTTAGGAGTGGTCCCCGACCACTTTACTTAGGTTTAGGTTAGGCTTAGGCTTAGGCTTAGACTTAGGCTTCGGCTCAGGCTTAGGCTTAGGCTTAGGATCAGGCTTAGGCTTGGCTTCGGCTTAGCTTAGGTTTAGGCTTAGGATAGACTTAGGCTTAGGCGTAGTCGGAAGCTTAGGATTGGCTTAGACGGTTCCTGGCTTTTCTTTTTAGAGCATTTTTAGCCTTTCCCAACTTTCCCTCCCCAGCTTCACCTGGCTCCAGCAACAAGGAACGAAGTTTTCCCTGGCCTGAAGCCGTTGATAAGCCGCGAATAGGGGGCGATTTTTACGGGCCATCCCCGCGCTATTTTATGCGCTTTTCGCGGATTTTAACAGGCTTTTTTTACAGTTCCCCCTCGTGGTCAGGTGGATCGGGCAAAGTTCGAGGGTAAAAAGAGTGCAGTTTCGGATGTTTGGCCTAGGCTTAGGCGTGGGCTTAGGCTTAATTCAAAGCAGGTGGAGAAATTTCGATAGGGTCGATTGGAATTCGATGAGTTTAATCAGATTCAGTAGGGGTTGGCGGAAGACCGGAGTCGATCGACGAGTGCGAGGAGCGCGTCTTCTTGGCGATGATGGAGCCTGAAAAATTAGGGTATAGGCTCACAAACTGGCCAAGCCCAAAACTTATTATAACCAGCTTATTAGGCAGTCTAAAACTTCACGAAAAACCCACCACTTGTGCAGCTACTGGCCGACGAGTGGGAATATGTGAGGGCCGGGGAGATGGGTTCATCGGAATTCTCGGATTGGACCAGCTCGTCGGTCTCCTCGCGCAGCTTCCCAACGCTGATTTTGAGGGCTTCGGAGGTACGGCGGGGCTGAAATGTATCGATTAGAAGCCGCTAAAACTAACATTATTGAATTATGACGAAATTCAAGCCAAATGAGTCAGTTTAACACGTTATAAGGATACCTTAACACCTCGAAAAAAGCTTACCGGTCTCCGGTTGAAGCGGTTGCTGGACCGGGGTGGGATCGGGATGCGGAGGACCGAGTTTTTGCGCGAGAAGTACTGCGGCGCTTCGCTGTCGACGTACAGGTTGGTCACGGCGGAACCTTCAGAGGGGAGTGGATCCTGAAACGAGCAGGTTACGATGAAACTTCATTGCGTAAACGTTTTTCGCTTAGGCTTAAACTTAGGTTAGGCTTAGGCTTAGGCTTAGGCTTAGGCTTAAGCTTAGGCTTAGGTTCATGCTGCAAAACTCACCAATGGCCGGTCCTCCTCATCGCTACTCGACGCCGCGGCGGACAGCTTGCGCTCGCTGCGACACCGCCGCATGCCCGACTTGATCTCGTCGATTTTGTCGGAGAGGGAGAGGAGCTGCTGGAGGAGCTGCATGTCCTCGTCGACGAGGGACATCTGGAAAAGTTGGGAATTATCGAGCTTTCTAATTTTTTAGTTTTTTTTGAGACTTCGTCAGGCTTCTCATAGTTGTTCCGACAGATTCCGCTCATTTCAAACGTTAAAAAATTAGATTTATCGAGTTTTGAAGCTTTTTATGAGGATGTTCGCTCTTTTTTCTAGAGTTTCCTAGGCTTCAGCCACTTTTTCCGACAAATTCCGCTAGCTTCCGCTGTTTACAAAGCGTTCATTCAAGAATTTAACGCACCAAATCTCAGCCCCAATGAGTAGCCGGGGCTCCTTTCAATTCTCAAATTTCAGAACCCCCCACCCCCCCACCCCGCCCCCTAGAAGATCCCTAGATCGCGGGCGGCCGATGTGGACATTCTCAGCCCCCTCAAAGGGCACTATTTAGCCCGGGTTGTTTGTTTGTTTGTCTGTCCGGAGTCTGTCGGTCTGTCTGTTTGCCCGTATGTAGGGGGCAACGATATATTGGCTCAGAATATGATCTCCTTCACCCAGGCCCCGCGGCCAATCTACGCCCACGATGACAGCCCGTCCATTCGATTGGGGCATAGGGCAGAAGTGGGTCCGATTCTTAGATGGAAAGACTAAGCCTAAGCTTAAGCATAAGGGAAGCCTAAGCCTAAGCCTGAGCTTAAGTCTAAAGTAAGCCTATGCCTGAGCTTAAGGTTATGGCTAAGCCTAAGCCTAGCCTAACTCTAAGCCTCAGCTTCAACCTGAGCTTAAGCCTAAGCCGAAGCCTAACCTAAGCCTATGTCTAAGGAGGAGGAGATGCTTTAAGTCTGTCATTTCAGGACCGCTATGCTGTAAGACGAGGCTTGGACTAGGTTTAAGCTTAAACTGAGACTCAGGCTCAAGCTCAAGCTTGAGGTTTTCTCAAAACCTACCTAAACTCCCAATCTGAGGCCAAAATTTGTACCGATTCCAGCCCATTTTTCAAAACCAACTACCCGATCCATGAATTCCGTTCCAATCCCCTGTACACCATTGCTCAAACCTTACGCGAAAAAGCCATTCCGCGAATTCGACAGGGTCAATTTCTCATCCCACAAATACCATAAAGGCAGCCGGGGCATCTGTCCCCGCGGGCCGTGGTGGGACCATCTGCCCCCGGTTTTTCCGTTCGCCTCCTATGTACGGTCCGTCCCCCCGCCGGGCACCGCGCAAATTTGCATATTCAATGAGGCATGGGCAGGGGGTGTAGCCGCGGGGCACAAAATATTGACCCCGGATCGGTGTTTGTTTGTGTTTGGGTGGGAGAGATCGTGAGTTGGAGTGTGGAGACTCGAGTGGTAAGAGTTGGCGCCTTGAGGGGGTTGAGTATTTGGGGCAATGATATGCAAATTGGGGGAGAGAGAGAGAGCGGAGAGAGAGAGAGAGAGAGAGAGAGAGAGAGAGAGAGAGAGAGAGAGAGAGAGAGAGAAAGAAAGAGGTAGAGAGAGGGGGAGAGAGCGAGAAAGCGAGAGAGAGGGAGCGAGAGAACGAGAGATAGTGAAAGAACGTGCGAGAGATAAAGAGACCAAGCTATAGATAACGAACAAGCGAGGGAAAGCGAGAGAGAGAGAGAGCGAGAAATCGAAAGATATACTTTAAATCCCATCTTTTTCCTAGATTTGAATACACCCGATCATCTCCCTAATGACCACCCAAATGTGTGCCCCCCCGATCCGGCCAATTTTTCGGGTATTACGCGGCTCCATCTGGCACACTACCCCCCCCGCCCCCCCCCCCCCCACCCCCCAAATTGCGCAACATTTGTGGGCTTTCACCCGTTTTTGAGCCCCCGATCTCATCATCAAAAATGGGCGGCCAGATGGGCGACCCAGATTGACCTATCGGGCACCGGGTTTTTGATCAGGCAGCCGATTGCTGGAAAATATGGAGAAATTCAAGCTTATGAGGTTTTAAAGGACCATGCAAGTCAAATGTACCAAAAGTTCTGATTAATCGATTACGCAAGTAAACTCTGGTAAGAAACCCATTGAACCGCTTTCACTATCACAAATTTTTGTTGCAATTCAAGAATCTTTTTTGGAAGATTGTGTTAAGGCAAAATTACCAATAACAAAAAGAGTTTAATCGATTACGGAAGGAAAATTCGGTTCAAGGAACCGGAAGTCTTAAGCTATAGATTTTTGTACGATGGCGTGAATTTTAGCATTTTATCTACAGGGCATATTTCTAACTTCCGGACCTACCAAGCCCAATTTTTAGTGGTTATTTTTTAGGCTATCCACCCGTCCTAGCCCCTTTAATTATCCACCCCCAGCCGCTCGATCAAATCCGATTTTCCACGCCAAATCCCCCCTCTCATTTGTATGGGAGCGGCTTTTCGGGGGGCTGCCGGCTGTCTGTCCATAGTAATTAGTCGGATCATATGCATGGTCGGGCCATATGGGCCATTCCCTAGCCAAGGTCACGGCAAAAGAAAACGCCGATTTTTTTTGGACCGAAAGTTGGAAAATTTTGTTGGATTCAGCTTAGGCTTAGGCTTTGGCTTGGGCTTATGGTTAGCAGTATGCTTAGGTTAGGCTTGGACTTAGGCTTGGTCTAGGCTTAGGCTTAGGCTTGGGCTTAGGCTTAGGCTCTTCCCAACTCGTTTAATTTCCCGATCATTCCCCCGACCCCCAGCAACAATTCCAGCCCTGTCTAATCTTGGCACCCACCAATTGCCCCCGTCATTCGACCCAACCAAAGGGGGGGCCATTCGGGTCCGGGCCAGTAGGGCGGCGCGCGCAGACGGTTCAGCTGCACCGGATTCTCCGCTTCTCCCTCTTCTCTCTTCTTCCACACCACGCGTCACACATCCCCCCTCCCCTAACCCCCCCTGCTGCTTCTGCTGTCCACCGACAATGTTTGGGCCCCGAAGAAGAAGAAGACTACTGTCTTCCACGCCCCGATCTTCACACGCGCGCCCCTGGGCCGACCGAACACACCGGATTTGCGCTGGGAACAGCGCCAAGAGAGAGAAAAAGAAGAGATGGTTCGGTCAAAGAACAGAACACATTGGTTTTAAAGGACCTGGAAAGGCAGAATGCCGACACTCAAAAGGTGCAAATTTCAAAATGCCGACAGCTAAAAAGGCCGACGATAAAATGCTGCCATTCAGAATTTCCGACAGCGAAAATACAGAAAAATAAAATACCAACATTCGAAATTCATGGCATCTAAAACGCCGACATTCAAACATGATATAATAAAAATCCCGACATTCAAAACGCCTGACAGCTAAAATTCCGACAGCAAAAATCCTGATTTCCAAAATTCCGACAATCAAAAATCTCGGATTCCAAAATGCCGACATTAAGACGCTAAATTAAACATCGAGAAAATTCTAGATTCCGAATCAGGTCGTCGGCATTTACGGTGCCGGGATTAAACTTGGCGATTTTCGATAATTTACAATTTTTCTGATCCCTAATTCCTATTTCATTATTTTTGCCCATTCCTAATCACTCAACCTCGCCAGATAACCAACTTCACGCCACGCAGCTGCTGATCGGCGCCACCGATTGATGTTCGCCAGATCTGGGGGACCCGCTGGGGGATGCAAAGTGGCCTGGGGGAAATTATGACTCGAGCCCGGGGGTTGTCGAGGTGCTAACCGGATGCCCGGGGCTACTTGGGCACAAATATGCGTCTATCAAGGGCCACTACATAAAAAGATCTCTCTCTCTCTCTCTCTCTCTCTCTCTCTCGCAACAACCGATAATCAATCAATCACAATACGTGACGGATCGTCGTGTTTTGGAGTGTTTCGGAACAAATTGGAGCTCAATAGATGTCAAAAAAGTGATGGAACATCTAAAAGGATGCTTGGAAAATTGCCGAAATCTCTCTCACTTGCTCTCTCTCTCTCGCTAGCTTCTAGAAAGGAAGTTCTACAGCAAATACGCGCCCAGTCGCCCGCCTAGGGGTGTAAACAGTACACAAACGTTGCGCAATGCCGTCGGATTCGGGGGTCTGAAGTGACAAGTTGCGTGGGTGTGTATTGGAGCGGAAGCCTTTCAAGGGAAGATCTTGCGCTTTCTCCGGCTTTCTCTCCCTCGCTCTCTCTCTCTCTCTCTCTCTCTCTCTCTCCATCTCTTTCTGTTTTATCTTTTCTCTCTCTCTCTCTCTCTATCTCGCTCCCTCTGTTCTCTCTTTTCCTCTCTTTTTCTCCATTCCTGTCGCTCCCCCTTTAGACTTCCCTGGAAACCCCCAATCGGAAGTGGTAGACCCCAGAACGAGTCTCTCATCGTCCAGCTGCCCCCCCACCCACCGATCGACTCATAAGCGGATCGGCCGGCCGGACCGGTGGGGACCATTTTTTTTGGGGGACCCTTTTGGGCCTCTTTTTGGCCCCCTCCTCCTTAACTACACTGCGCGCCAAATGCCGTCTTTGGCCACCCCCTCACCCATTCCACCACACTACTGTAAACACTCCGAGAAGTGGCAAAAATGGGAGTTGAAAAAATGAGACTGTTTGGGCAGCGTTTAGGAAGTGGGGGTAAGGTCAAGGAAACATGGAAACTACGATAGAGTTGCTTGGATTTAGGTTTGGGCTTAGGCTTAGGCTTAGGCTTCGGTTATTATGGCTTAGGCTTAGGCGTAGGTTTAACCGTGCACGCCACGTAATTTTGAACCATTCTCCTCCTGTCACACTCCCTTTAAAATGAAAAAAAAAACCACGAATCGACACGAAAATGCCAATTATACAATGCCAAACCGAGACCGCCATGCTATCCACTGCACCCCGGGTGTCACCTCTCATTAGGGCGCATTTTAGCATACAGCGAGGGGGTAACACGGCTAAACCCTCTTGTTTGGCACGGCGGGTGGTGGAATGCGGTGAGGGTTGATTAGGGCTGTGTGACATCAACAAGGGGGTCGTTTCACTTTCTGTCTCTCGCTAGCTCTCTCTCACTCTCTCTCTCTCTCTCTCTCTCTCTCTCTCGCTTCCGCTCTACCTGGCAAGAGAAATGCCATTTTTGGGGTATGAAACAGGTAAACTA